AAAATGTTGACGAAAAACTAGAATAAATGAATGTTTTTTGTTAAAAAGCGATTAAAATTATGCTATTTAATTCTTACTGAAATTTAATTTTTCAACTTTAAAAATAGATTTCAATTGATTTTAGTATTTTAAATCGATTTTTAATCGCATAATAAAGTCTTATTGATTAAAATTGGTTTTTGGAAACTGATTAAGAAAGATTAAAATCAAATGAAATCTATCTTTAAAGCTGACAAGTCAGATTTTAATTGAATTCATATAGTATCATTTTAATTAACAATTGTTTATAGAAAAATTAAATCTAATCTAATTTATCGAAAGTTTTTCTTACATGAGTCAGTATTAATTGATATTCTATCTCAACGCCTGGTATATGTATCAAAGTCTAACCTAGTATGATAATCATGATTTGGTGAGCTAATGAGTCCGAAAAAATAACCAAAACTTTGAGTTTCTAACTTAAAACTTGAGAAAAAAACTCGTTTTACGACTATCACTATTTAAATCAGTTAAAAATCAAAGATTCTAATTTTAATCAAATGATAATAGTTCTATCTTGATCGACTTTTATCTAGAACGAAGTCGGTTGTAGGTGTGGGTGTGAGTTTGGATGAAAACAGTACCCATCCCCACACACCCCCACCAACACCCACCCACATCCTCATATATCCACCCACACCCACACTCACCCACACCCACACTCACCCACACCTGCACACACCATCCACACCCACAGCCCGATTGTTCAACCGAACAAGTAGAATTCCCTAGTGTAATTCCGATCAAACAGTTTAAAAATCTATTTTGTTTTTGTTCGTTCTCATTTAATATATATGTCATATAAAAGTGATTATTGGGTCATAATTAGATCAAAGTGTCTTCTATCGACTGACGAAAGAATCTACGAAAAAGCATGAGCTAGAAAAAAGTAATAGTGAAAATGCTAAGAGGGGATTCGAACTGATCGGAATTATCCGATGTGGGGTTATTCTGATCAGTCAATCAATCTAGATGGCGTAACTTCGATCATTTCAGCAAAAATAGCTAGACTCACATTTCCTCATCTTTTAATTCATTGATTATCATTGCTTGTAAAATAAAAACATATACCATTGGATAGCTCAAAATGTGTTCTATGGGACCTGAAAATATCTTGATGAACGAGGGTGTGGGATGAATATAGATGTGAGTGAGTGTGGGTGTGGGTCTTTCTTCTTCGATCACCCATACTAGCGCACATTCACATTCACATCCACACCCAAACCCACCTCAATGCACTATTTTGTGTAGAAAATGTTTTTGCACATAACCACTTTTCATTATTTTCAATGCGAAGATATTGAAATGGAATTCTTCTAATTCAGTATATGCCTGCCGTCTTCCATATATTCAAGTATAAATGTTGGAATGTATCGAGTAGTATTGAAAGAGAATAGGTTGCAGAATTTAATAGTTGTCAGCCTGGAGCAATATGAGAAACTTTATTTTTTCTTCTTTTTTATGTGTTAGAGACTTTTTTGTAGTTTTTTTTGTTTTTCATTTCTTTCTTATTCTATCAATATAAACGTTGCCACTTATTATTGTAGTGTATATGAAGGCATCATTCTTTTGCTAGTGAAAAAACATAAAATGTAAGAAACTACTTCTGAAATTTGTTCTAATTGCTTTTTAGGCTTGAAAACAATTGAAAATTCATACATGTTGTTTTCAGGTTCCTAAGAATGAAAAAAAAATGAATAAGATTTAAACGAAACAATTGTAAAATACAAAAAAAAACATTCAACATTTTATTTATTGAAAATGAATACCAAAGTATAAAACTACAAGTTAAAACTTTCACTAGCATACTTTTTGTTTTCTCCTTGTTATATTCTATGTTTCTGTCTTCTGTTTTTTTAAATTTCTTTCAGCAAGATTATCTGCAAAAAATCGTAGTGAAAGTCATTGCAGAGAGCAATAGAAAGGAAAGCAGATCGTGTTTAATACAAACGAAGAAATCGTTTCAGATATGGATTTAGCCGAACGATTTTTTGACGTTGATCAAGAGTTTCTACAAAAAATACCACCTATGATAGATTATCGCAGTCAACCATTGGTAACACTAGAAGAGACTATCAAAAAGTTTCAAAAATCCAAGCAAAACATTGATTATATGGTGAAAACAGCAAAATGGCAGATGTTTCTTTCAAGATATAATCTTACCTCTGATGAAGCAGCTGCCGTCTATCTTTATACAATGAGACATTCGGAAACTGATCGAGATATTTCCAGTCAATTGAGTACAGCACTTCGACTTAGATTTCGACAACTGCTTACCCCTTGGTTTCCTTATCTTCAGCTCTTGATCACAGCATTGAATAAATTACCATCAATGAAAGGCACGATTTGGCGCTATTCTCGAGGTCACATTGCTGATAATTATCGAAAAGATTGTGTCTGGTTAGGGTTCAGCTCGTGTACAGGAACCAAGCCATTATTTGAGCAACCTCTCAACAAATACGATGTGTATACTATATTCAAAATTGAATGCATTAATGGTAAAGTGATTCGTGATTTTTCCGACTACCCCTGGGAGAATGAAGTTCTTCTATTGCCTGATACAAGCTTACGAGTGATAAAGAAAGTAAATCTAAAAAATGGCCTTAAAATAGTCTATTTACAAGAAGAAGGATCTCCACATTTACAATTGGTTTCACCTTCAGGTTTTTCATCGTCAATGGATAAAGCAAATGCAACAAACGATGGTTCCACTTCGACTAAATTTCAACCCAACGATGAAAGGATATCAGTACAATCATCCAGTAAGATTTCTTTTTACTTTTGAATAATGTTTTCTTCACAAAACATCTGACTGTATAAAGCGAAATAAAAATTTGCAGGTTGTTCAAAGAAAGATATCAAATACTGCAGAAGACAGAGTGTCATCAGGCGGATAAAAGTCATTCTTTTCCAATGTGTCTCTGCTCATCTGATATGAAAAGATTTCATCGAATAAGGGACGACTTTCAGAGATTCAACTTGTTAAATGAACCATTTTTGAATATAATGGTTCATCAGTTTTTGAAGCATACTAAAACAGTTGTAAAACTCAACTATGCAACTGAATTCTCCCTATTCAAATTCTGAACACGAATTAAATTTGCAGACTCAGAAGTTAAGATAAATAAAATTTATCTTAAAAGTGAATTCATATTTATTCATCCTTTATGCACAAAATTTACAATAATGACAGGACTCTCATTCATGAGAAGGATTCCATATTGTTGCGAAGACGTAGAAAACTATTTGATTAGAACTAATTTTAGAGTAGCATTCGCAAACCAGATCAAGAATAGAAATTCGACATTATCCCGTCCATTCTCACAAATATGTGATGATGAAATCATAAATAACTACGCTTGTTGATTTCTTTTTATTGAATACAATTTTTTCAGTATAAACAATTTTCTTTGATCACGTCCATGCAGTGAACTTGTCATTTGTCATCGCTTTAAGGTTATATTCTCATGCTCTATTAATCATCTTTTTGAGACGTCATGTATGCCATAGAATTCTTAAAAAATTATAGAGAGCAAAGCGAATCGCACATTGTAGTAAATTTTTAATTTTTGTCTGGTGCATGCTACCAAAGAAACCATATTTCAGTGCTCCATTCCAGGAAGATAATAGGTCGTAAAAGAGTAATATTTTCCGAAGTCTAAATCTCAAACTCATATTCGCTTTTGTACTCAATAAATGTGCAGATTTTCTTCTCAAAGAACGGTTTAACTTAATGTATTTTTCGAAGTGTTGCTTGCAGATTGACATACTTAAGCGTCAAACAATGATAGGAAATTGAAATCAAGCATGAAATAGAGGAATTTAGTTCGTATAATGTGTTTTGCTGATCTCTTTTGATTTCAATTTAGACACTCCTAAATTGCCATTTATCAAGCCTATCTCTCAATCTCAAACACCTCGGTTGGAAATATCTCCTAAAGACAGAGAGAAATCCAATAATATTTCCAAAGACAAAACGTCTACGAGTTCGGGGTTTGAATTTGCTGAAAACAAGGATGAATATGCTCCTCTAGATAAGCCTTGGTTGGATTTCAAGTTTCATGATGATACCAAACAATCAATAATGACTCCCGAAGATCTGGAGACGAAACTACAAGATCCTCCTAAAAGTGTGAATCATGCTATTTTAAACTGTGTGAAGGGATCGATGTTTGGTATGGCCTTAGGTGATGCGCTTAGAGCTCACGTCAAATTTCGATCGCATCAACATCTGTTGAAACATCCTGTGCGAGATCTTCAGGTAGGAGGAGCTTGGCGTCTCAAAAAGGGACAAGTAAAAGTTTTTCTATTTAAATTATATTCTCGATTTATTCTTTAGTAAACTCCAATGATTTTCAAAACAAGTTTCGGAAATACTTTGAAATAAGAAGTAGCAACCATCCCCATTTCAGCTCTTTCAATTATAATTTGAACTAAATTTTCAACGAGGCGTAGCATAATATGTAATAATTGCCATATATCTTTTAGCACTATACACCAAGTCATTATTTCGTAACGTGTGTTTGATGTTTTCAAGATGTAAACCATGACTGATAGAAACTCTCTCTCATTTCAAAGAAGCAAGAGAGGTGCTACAGTATCAGGATGATCAACTAGCGTACACCCGGATGTATTCTTTTCTCTTCGGTCAGCTATCATGGATATCCTGAAGTTTTCTGAACATTTAGGCATTTATATGTTATTTGATCAATTAGTTTAAGTCGTCTCTATGTATCATAAGTTCTTGCCATCAAGCGTCTAATATTATCCTACTTATTTTCATTGAATTTCGAGTAAAGTCTTGCGAAGTGTTGACAAAATGAAAGAAACATTTGAAAAAAAATAATACTACATTTGTCTTTGCTATTCCTTCAAAATATGTGCCTTAAACTAGTGTAAGAGATTGATAATTGGGCTATTTACGAGAAATTTCGTTTGCTTAGTTCACAGATGGTACCTCCATGGGTCTTTGTTTGGCTAATTCCCTAGTGGCTCGACGTGATTTCATCCCTTATGACCAACTTGTTCGATATAAGTGGTGGTTCCGATATGGTTACATGTCTTCAACTGGACACTGCTTCGATAATAGTAGTGCGTTTAGTCAGTCGCTGAAGGAATTTGAGCGTCGTCAACAATTATTTGCTAGGAAACATAAAATTCCTTCTGATGAATTAGATTTTCTGTCTGATCCACATCTACTCAAAGAATTTGACGTACATTGTACTGAAAGTGGCGTAGCTGGTAATGAAGCACTCATCCGCTTGACTCCTGTTTCTCTTTTCTTTTATCGATATCCTACTGATGCCGTTGAGTTTGCTGGGATTAGTGGTGCAATTACTCATGATAGTCCGAAAGCCTATGATTCTTGCCGCTATTATGGTGCTTTGATCGTAGCTGCTCTTCGGGGTGAAACAAAACAACAATTACTGGATGATAAATTTTATTTAAACCATAAATCATGGTTCAATAACAAGCCACTTAATCCAGATGTGATGAAAGTTGCCCAAGGATCCTACAAGAAAGCTGGTGAATATCATGATCGCATTCGAGGCAAAGGATACATTGTTGATGCTCTTGAAACTGCATTATGGACTTTTTACTACGATGAAGGTTCCTTTGAAAAGGGAATTCTCGACGCAGTCAACCGTGGAGATGATACTGATGCAACGGCTGCTATTTATGGTCCATTGGCTGGCGCTTACTATGGTTTTGACAATCTACCAAAAAAATGGATTTCACAGGTTTATGCGCGGAATTTTATTACATGTTTAAGCAAATGGATCGTTTATGAAGGAGAGTTGTGGCAGCCAAAGCTTCCTATTTCGAGTAGGTTAGAACCTAACCCACAATCTCATGTAATGATTCCTTTAACATTTACAAATGCATTTAATTCAATATCAACGATAAGGCCAGAGCATATACAAGTATCGACTCTGACACTTAATGAACTACCTTCTAGTCAGTCGAGAGTCAAGGAAGCAATGCGTCCGCCACATATAAGCACATATGGCATTTATGGAACGCCTCTAGGACTACAATCAACTACGAGTTCGAGGCTGAGAGTAACACCAGGCCTATATGACTATGTTGACGAGTCACGATCTACCACTGGTAGCCTCTTGAACTCTGCTTATACTGTTGGGAAGCCATCTGGCTATGATGGTATGTTAAGATATCGTTCGAGTGACCTGATAGGGTTTCGTTATGGTGGCAACATGTTACCAAGCGATAATTTTGTTGCAGGAGTAAATGAGGACTATCACAGCTCATCTTGGAACACAGGACTTGCAACTCACAGAACACATCAATTTTTGAGCGATTGGTCACAAAGCTGGCTTCCACCGATTCCATCTCCGTCAACACCATACTACTCTTCTATAACGCGAAGTTTTCACAGATTTTAATAGAGTTGTAAGAAATGATTATTCTCTTTCTTTTTCTCGTGTCACTTAATCAGGCAATCAATACTGAGAACAAAATTTTAAAAAATAGACGTTTCCAAAAATCGTTTTCCTTTTCATATGACTGAAGATTCCTTTATGCAATACCTCCTTAATAATGAATAACTAATTGTAACTAATTATGGGATGTGAGGTGTGAATGTGGGTGGATGTGGATGCGTGGGTGTAGGAGTGTGGGTGTGTGGATGTGGGGCGTGGGTGTGGATGCGGTTGTATGTCTACTCTGATCTTAGGCCCACACCCAGGTTTCGAAGACTACATCTAAGGAAGTATCTCAACTAGATTCACTAAACTACTGTTATCAGTAAAAAGGTACATGACTCAGTAATTACATACTTCAGACAAAAAGTTTAATGTAAAATAATAAAAAGAAGTCAATCTGATGAAATTATTGGATGATGATTTTGAATAATAATACAGATGCTGTTTTTTACATATATCACATAAATCGCTGTTCAATTTTAGACACTAGCATCATTTTTAAAAATCTAAATGAATTAAAAACAAGAAGAGCTTGAAGATTTTGTTCAACGTTATTACCTGGAATACAACACTGATGGTTTTTGTGGCTCGAGTTTGCCACGTATATCAAGATAAAATAAATTATTATTATTTTTCTTATAAGTTAAAACCAGATGTGCTGCTAGATTCATGAATGCTACTTATGAATATCAGAAGAAAGGATCTCGAAATCTTTTTATTTCATAAAGAGTCCTCATCACTCTTTGGATGCCTTTTTTATTGTTGAAGCTCATTGAATATCTATTTCTTCGAATTTAATGAGAAAAGATATTTTCTAACTTAAAATGTCGAGTTCTTTACGAATCTATATTATTTAAGCGGAGAAAATTTAACTGTTAAAAAAAACCAGAGACTGCACGACGAAGATTTATTCTTTTTTGAATATGCAGATTTTTCAGTGTCAGTAGCTTTTTATAACTTCCATCAATGGATAACTTTCAAAGTAAGAGAAAATATATGAAAAGAGGGACAAATATTCGAGATTCAGGCGAAATTGTTTTTTCACTATAGTTTTCTTCATACGTATGTGTTTCAGCAGAAAGCTAGGTTTATTACAAAACTAAATTTGAACCATAAGTTTCTTTTTTAAACTTCTGTCGATCAGTAGTTTATAAAAGATAAAAGATACAGCACAGTGAAAAATTCGAAATATAGGTAAATTTGACTTGTTTTTCTGTTGAATTAGGCTATAATTGTATGATTTTCAACATGAAGGCGGTCTTGTTATTATATACCATAACTTGAAACAAACTCTCAACAGAGGTCAGCTGAATACAACTTATTAAAAAAAATATTTTTTCATTTGAATGTCTCTATATTGAATTTATGTTTTTCTTTATTTGCTACAGCAGAAAGCACTAACCTCAGTATATTCTACAACTCTCTTATTAGTGATTCATTGCAAGAAAAGATAAATATACATGTGATTGGTGTAGTGTTGCTATGTAGAAACATCACTCACATTTCTTAATTCATTTATAATGTGTACAGTGTGTACTAGACTTCTGGTACGTAACCAATTTATTGATTTAGTTCGATCGAAATTGAAGAATACAGCTAGAAGAATAAAAACTTAATTATCAGCTTGATAAATAGAAAAATGAGGTAATAGAGAAAGCTAAAAGAGAGTTACGTATCAATCGGTTCGATTCAATCAATACGATTTCTTTTCTGTTCATGAAGTGCTTCCTATGTGTAGTTATTTTTTTTGTTGTATTAAGGTTAAACTAGTTTTTCTCTTTCAATAGTACTAAACACTTATATATAATAATCTAAATTCATTCTTATTAATTTTGATCATTTAATCTTCCACAACATTCGTTCCTTATACATATCGAACTGAAAAGCCAAGGGCTATTGATGCTACAATGCTTTTTTAAAGACTCTTGTCTGACTAGAAAACGATATATTATTTTGTCTTTGATCCATTTGATTTAATGGAAAAAGTACTGTACCATTTGTAGATTATTGTATTTTTTTTCGGTTAAATTGCTACTGTTTGTTTATCATTATTGCGCTTATTTATGTTTGAACTTTAAAATTAAATGTATATCATCTTTGTTCTCTAAGATTTGGTTTACAATACTTAGTGAAAAATTGAAGATTGTACATTACAGTTTAGATATTCAATTTATATTTGCTTCAAATAGCCATGAATACATAACACTATCGATTAAATATTTGTTCATCTGAGTTAATTTCATTGCATATCCAAAACAAAAAAGGATCCGTTTCGTAGACTAAAAACAGTACGGAAATCAAAAGTATCTAAGTTTATAACGTGTTGATTAATTTTTTTTTGCCTAACTTGATTGAAACTATCTTTACTTACACTTTTAAACACAAAAAAGAATGTTATTATTATAAAAAACACTAACTTTTCTATGCTTGAAATTTCAGATGTCAAAACATTTAAAATATTCTTATGTTGACTCAAGAATTAAAAGTATTTAGTTAGTTCAAGTGAAATTTATCAATTGAATTCGAATGTTCTGGAGAATCTTTTCCTCGCGCATGTTCAAGCGCATATTCACATACACACGCTATATTCCATCATCGATCAATCATGTTATATCTGTTTTGTATGATTATTTGCACAAAAAAAATCAATTCATATGGAAACTTGGAACAAGTTATGTATGGTGTCTGGTAAGAAACATTATATTTATTTTTTGCCCATGCAAAATAGTATAGCCATCATATTCTGTATCAAGTATAGCGCACAACCTTACGATAAGAACAAGCGACGTCTTTTATCTTTTTTACTTTTTTTATAGAACAAGCAGTTGCAGCGAGTTAGACATTCGATATTGTCAAGATTTTTCTAAATAGAAAACGAGCAATTAAGTTTTGAAACAAGCGTTCCTATTCTTTGAACCGATTAAGAGTAAGTTGCAAGCATTTTCATACATAAATATTTCGGAAAATAAATAAAGAAAAATAAGAAGTCAATTAACGTAGTGTTGAAAGTTTCATTTGGTTCACAGCATTCATTTGTCTCTCTTCAAACATCTTACACCTCCTTTTTGTATAAGAATCGGTGGACCAAATAGGGCCGAATAAATGATAAACAAGATAAGAGAGAAATTAAACAAAGGATATCTCAAAGACAATAGTCAGTCGCTTGGATCTAGTCGAAAACATGTTATAAGAAAAGAATAATGATAATGTATGACAGTATGGAATTTTTATGATAATTATCCTTTGAAAGCTGTCTATTGCTAACATTGAGACTATTTGCTAAAATTAAAAATGACAATGTTCTCGGTAATAATAAATTTCTTAAATATTCTCTTTATCAGATACATCACAATATTGTTCATAAAAGCAGAGTCATTCTTCATAGACATGAAAGCGCTTGCTTTTTCATTCATTCATCTACGATTTCAAGTAAAACTAGATTCCAAAGAAGATTAGTTCATAGCTCTGCATATGACTAATTAAAAAACTGATTTTGAGCCCGTAAAATCTTGGTTAATTTTTGCCAGTGTTATGATTTGATCATTATCTCACGATGCACTATCTGTACGATAAACAAAGTAATATAGCCCAGACGTCTTTAGATGTTATTGTTTCTACTTTTATTGGCCTTCTCATTATCCAAAGTCTGGTCAATTGAATTTGAACCATATAGTCTAAGAACACAGAGTCTATATGAACCGCTCGGAATTGATGCTAAAGTACCATTACTTAGCTGGCGATTACAAAGTTCGAAAATTATTCGTGGAGTAAGTCAAGTAGCTTATCAGATTCGAGCTGCTCATCACAAGAGAGATCTGGACAGCAATCCATTGTGGGATTCTGGAATGGTTGTATCGAATTCTACAGCAATAGTCTGGGAAGGACCAACGCTAAGTTCTAGAGAAAGAATTGTTTGGCAAGTGCGATCTTGGGACAATGGTGGCAAGATATCGGAATGGAGCGAGATTGCATCGTTTGAAATGGGACTTCTGGATGCACACGACTGGGATCCGGCAGTTTGGATTGAAAACAAGGCTTACATGACGGGTAACACATCTCTTCCTTACTTTGTTAAGCGCTTCAGTATCTCAAACTCAATATCGAGTGCACGACTATGGATTGTAGGATTGGGACAGTTTGTTGCAACAGTGAATGGTCAAGTAGTGACGAGCGGTGTTCTTAACCCTGGATACTTTGATTGGAATAAGTCCATCGAATATTCAACTTATAATGTTACAGCCCTTTTGAAAGACGGCGATAATGTTCTGGGCGTAGCTCTAGGAAAAGGAATTTATAGAGCTGAAAAACCACTCGGCGGACGATACTATAAGTTTCTTACAACACCACATCCAATGAAGTTGATTGCACAACTACAGTTGAATTATATGGATGGAAGTTGTCAATATATTGTGTCGGATTCCAGTTGGCTAACCACTGTTACAGGCCCTTTGCTTGAATCTAGCTGGTATGGTGGAGAAGAATATGATGCACGAAAGGAACTTATTGGTTGGGATACACCAACATACGATCACTCGACATGGAAGATGGCAGATATTTCGAGTATACCGAATCCGAACGCTATCTATCGAGCTCGAGAGTCTCCTTCGATCCAGATAGTGGAAGAAATTGTCGCAATCTCTGTTACAGATAAAGGTGATGGTACGTATATTTTCGATTTTGGCATCAATCATGCAGGTTGGCCAAAGTTAAGTATGAGAGGTGCACGTGGGACAACTGTCACTATCATGCCAGGTGAGTTGCTCAATTTAGATGAAACTATCAATCAAGTGACCGAGGGAACTCCAATTTATGATCGGTATACTTTTTCTGGTAACGGCATCGAGACCTATGCTCCGACCTTTAGGTAAGCTCAAACAGTTCGTTTTGAAAAAATTCAATGAGAAATTTTTGTAGATATCATGGCTTTCGATACTTACAAATTGAAAACTTAACCTATCTACCACAAGTCAACGATTTCAAAAGTTATACATTACGTATTAATAATGATGTAACCGGTACGTTCAACAGTTCTATTGAACTTTTGAATAGTATCCACAAAATTGTCAATCGAGCCGTACAAAGTAATATGTTCTCTGTATTTACTGACTGTCCTCATCGAGAAAAACTTGGCTGGCTGGAAGAAACTCATCTTGTCTTTCCTGCCATTGAGCGCTTCTTTGACGTCCAAGCGCATGGTCGCTCAGTCGTTCGTCGTATAGCTGAAGCACAGCTGAGTAATGGGATGGTTCCCACAACTGCACCTGAATTTCCAATTTTTAACGGTGCCTTCCGAGATGAACCGAATTGGGGAAACAGCATTATTCTTCTACCATTATATCTTTATCAATCTTATGGAGAGATAGCTTTATTAGAAGAGTTTTATTCAAACATGGTGTCATGGATTGATTATTTGAGATCCAAAGCTCAAAATAATATTGTATCATACGGTCTTGGGGACTGGTATGCTATTGATCAGTCAACGCCTGTTGGTGTCACTGGAACATATGGATATTGGATGTCGGCTAATGGACTTGAAAAAATTGCTAGTGCTTTGAATAAAACCGATGATGCTAAAAAATATTCAGACTTGGCATCACAGATCTCGTCTGCCTTCCATAGAACCTATTTCAATGCAACTGCCCATACTTACGCTACAGGAAGTCAAGCTGCTGATGTATTTGCATTAGAAATGGGTGCAGTACCAGTCACGGAACAACAAAATGTGATTCAACATCTGATAAATGACATTCGCGAGCGCAGTAACCATACTTCTTCTGGAGAAGTTTCTCTGCCATCTTGGTTTCGAATGCTAAGTTTCTACGGCCATGATGATGTAATCTATGACTTCCTCTCACGTACAGACAGTCCGAGCTATGGTTATGCAATAATTCACGGTGCAACATCTCTCACTGAAGATTGGGATGGTCCTGCTCCAGCTAAAGGACAGCCGTTGAGCAGTCAAAATCATTTTATGTTTGGTGCAGTAGACGAATGGTTTATGCGTTCTCTTGCCGGCATACAACAAGTAGCTAACTCTATAGACTATCGAATCTTAAATATTAAACCTGTCATCGTTGGGAATATCAGTCATGTTGAAGCGACTTATAGAACCACCAGAGGATGGATTGAGATTCAATGGAATCGTGTTGAAGAAGTTTTTACATTGAAAGTTATGCTTCCATATGGGTCGATTGCAAAGGTTTATGTACCGGGAACGAAGGCGACATCGGATTATGGAACACAGATTCAGATTAGAAAGAGAGAAGCAATGACAGTATTCAAAATCGAAAGCGGAAGTTATACTTTTAAATCCGTTATTGATGTTAATACAAAGCAGAACTGAATACATATACTAGTTATCTGATAGTTCACAAAAAAAACTGATATTCATGTCAAAATAGAATATAGATGAAATAAATAAGAATGATTTCGATCATGTAAATCACTTCAGAAATGATTTGCATACTTCAAGAGAATTTTCACTTGCTAACAGTATTAACAACGTTAAGAAGATCATCGAACGATAGAGTACAAAACTCTTCATTTTTTGCTGTAAAATAATTTTATCATCGGTTCGAATGAACACATGCTTTCAGGAATCGTTATGTATTTTAAAGAAACTAAGCTAACACAATCATGAACATGGGTGGCAGCTTTTCTCTCAACCATAAGCAGACCTACATGTACAGTCATTCATACTCACACTCTCAATAGGTTTTTTTTACTGTTTAGTAATTGTAGTGCGACAATTCTCAATTCTGAGAAATATCGAGCTAGTTCAATATGATAATTCAGATCCATTGCTACCATAAAGTTTCGAGTTTAATTTCTTAAAAGAAACTTTAGAGGTGAACTGGTAGAAAAAATATTTTCCTTGTTCTCAGTGAAGGTTTCAGCATACTTTAAAAAGAAAAAAGTACTAGGTTACGTAAAAAAGTTCGATGATGCACATTTATGAACAATACGAAAAACTTTGTAAACGTTTCAAAATATTTCTATGAATTGTCATAAAACGTGCATACTTCAAAATAATTCAAAAAAAAAAAATCTTTTTAATATTAATAACAATTTCAAATGAGTTGTTGCTTTTCAAATATTCAAGAGAAAAACGCATTATTTTACAATTGAAGTTTTTGTATACATATATTATTAAAATTCAAGGCAGTGACCAAGTTATTACGATAATTGCTCTTGATTTAAAAAAGAAAGTAAATCATTGTACGTTGTATGAAGTGATAAGTATGAAAACAAAAAGAGAGAAGGATAGCTAATAGAACAAGAAAAAACAGTAAAAAAACTAAACAATTCAACTTTTGAAAAATAAAAATTATAACAGTAATATAAAGTCAACTAGTAGGAAAATATGAAATAATGCTTCATGTATTTTTAACAACTTCAAATTTTAACTGTGTCCACGTAACTGATGAATTCGTTTCTTGATCAAAATAATGATATGCATCATCAGCTTGTTGCCAATCAGAAGAACATTTTATTGGTGCTTTATTATTACCTTGTTGTTCTTTTTTCTTACCCTCATATCGCCACCAACAGTTATTAAATCCACATGTTATTGGTTCAACAAAACTATCACATATTGGACATTTGGTTGTAGTTGCATCTGTATCTGCTACAATATCAAATGTTGTATAACCGATATTCATGATAACTTGCGTTCCGTTAGCCTCACATTGTGGATTGTCACAGATACCTTCTAGACACAAACCACGTCCAGCTATTCGCCATCTCGGAGCTTCTGTTGCCCATGGAGTTCGTTTAAAACTTTTAGTATCACTAGGATCGATGAATCTCAATCCTATTGTGCCGAAATTACGAGTTACTTTGGTAAGATCATGCAATTGTATTTCAGAATCATCTTGCACATCATAATACCCAAGAGTTTCCTCATCTTTGAGCAGTACATCTCTATTTTGTATATTGATCAAATACATTTTTTCTAAATCATATTTAATAGATGATTTATTAAGAAGGAGTTGTTTAAGTTGTTGAACTGTGGTTGAATCCTCTACATCAAATTGAAATGTTCGTCCCATTCCATCAAACGTTTGAATATACACCTTCATGATAAGTCTACGAATAATAAAACTTATAAGAACATAATTTCAACGGACATTTTTATTTTGCTATCAATTAACTGTTAGACGCTAACTAGTCCACGTACTTTTAATTCAAAATAATGCTCAAGAATTTTATTCTTTTTTTCTATTTGTAAAAAAGTCGTCGAGAATTTTCAAATGAATGAAGCATAAAAATCTGAAACAAATTGAAATATATTGAATAAAAAAAAAACATTTTACTACACATCGTATTTTTCGAATCGTTTTCATTTTTTCTAGAGTGCATCGCTATTATCATCTTTGATTCTATATCGTCATCCGTATACTTGTATGTTGTGTCTAACTGCAAAAAAAAAGAATAGTGTGTACTTCTTGAGAGACATTGACGTACTAAGAACGTCTAAAACAGAAATCGTTGTTATTAATTTTTCGCGAAACATGTAATCTTTGTAATTTTAAATAATTTAGGTTAGTTCTTTTTTCAAATTGTATTATCACAGAATACTAACGTACCGGTAAAAGCCAATTTTTGAGCAAAATAAATTTATAGACGTGCGAATGCATTGATCAACAATATGAAAGTATAACACTTACTTTGAATCAAATCTTACTATTCACATTTGAGAAAATATTACAACGAGGGATTAGTAAGTTCAAAAAAAACGATAGAGAACAGTTTAATATAGACATGTAAAAAACTCATCTGAGAAAAAAGTACGATCGAAATATTGTTAATTTTTGTCCTATCTCAAATTTAGATGATATTTTGTGATTAATTTAATCTGTATTTCGACTGCATGTCTAGAACTAAACAATTGCAATTAAATAATATTCCACAAAATACTTCATAAAAGAATGTATACATTTTACCTGTGTTGACGAAACGAATGAGTCTATGAAGAAACTTGAATCACGAGAAACTGTTTTATCATGCATTAAATTCAAAATATTGATTTCACCAATGGGAATCGGTAGATGATTATTTGAACTGATGGTAGTATACGATGAAAAGTATCAATTCAATATGTAAGTATTAATTTGATTCTATTTTTCATGATTTGGATCATTAATCGTCGCTTTGTATTTTCGTATAATATAGGGGCATCACTATCAATACTCTATGTCGCAAATTTTATGTGCTGTAAATGTTTTATGTTTTTGAAGATACATAAAAAGAGAACGTAGTTTGGAGAATTCCAACAAACCTGAAATAAGCAAGTATGAAGAACAGAACGATCAAGATGTCTGCTAAGAAAGAAAAAAACCTGCACACACATTACTAACAACAGTAATCAATGTCAACAACGAGCAATAGAATCAAGAAAAAATTGTAGAGGTCAGTGTCGGTCGGTAGCAAACGTTCTTTCATCTCCATCCATGCCTAAAAAAAATACTTTCACAGACGTATTTAAGTATCCCGCATGAATGCTGCTAGTCAAAACTATTCTTATAAGGTGGTATATTTTTACACATACAATATAATAAATTACTCTTGCATTGTGAAAGCTATGTATCCGTCTGATGTGTGAAAACCTTCGCCATATCACGCCGTTAGCTTATTAAGATCTTGGAACAGATTGTCATTGAAGAGTTTTTGTAATTTAGAGATTTCAATACTAATATCTTTGAGTTCCTTGAGAAAGCGTCTCATGGCATCAGTCTTTGTAGTTGGAGAATTGCAGGGTATTGCTTTTAACGAAGGTACACATGGACTCGAATGATGAACAAAGTCCAGATGTATCTGGTCAACATCTACAGTAAGATTTATTTCATTAGCTAAAACAGCAAAGTCCACTACGTCCCAGGCTGTGTTCTTGTCATGACGATAACACAGCCAAAAGAATTCGTTTGGATATTGTTTTTTCACAAATTCGGATGATGCAAGTTGGATTGGTTCGAGTTTTTCAATGAACGTGATTTCTTTGTTACTCGGAGTAAGCAAAAATGAGTGACAATACTCTTGATTGTACTTGCGTGTGCCCAGGCAGTATATTTGTGGATAGCTTTTTTCAATGATTTTAAATGGTAGGGTCAAACGAAAACAACCATATCGAGAATTTTCTCGATTGAGTGAAGGACATACTAGACTTCCAATGATGTTCTTTGGTGCAAGAGGAGAAAACCATACGAGGTTAGGTCCATTATAAATTAAATGTGGTCGACCTTTCAGACATAATTGCCATTCAGCATTAATCTTGCGCTTCGAATCTATTAAATTCAAAATATAGAGAAGATCTTTCATATTGTGAGTGACATGCTGAACCTTATCAAAGGGAATTCATTTAGCAAAAATAGTATATTGGAGTGGTCATAGAAAACTTCTGTGTAAAAATTTCCATCCTTTTTTATACTCGATTTCTGTTGGATATCCGAGAAAAATAAATGTTTTAGATTTGCATCTGCAGAAGAGACTTCCATCAATCTGATTATGTAGTTTTTCGAAGTTCATTTTACGGAAAATCGAATAAAGAAGATTTAAAGATTCATCGCATTGTTTCAAATTCGCAGACGAAGAAACAACACGATTTCGCCGTTGAGAGTTTCTCGCATTATCATAAACTTGCTGGAGAGTGAAGCAGCTGATGGTCGTAATAATATGACTGACAAGAATATCAGGTGGTTCAGAATTTTCATCCAAGAATTCTTCAACAGCATGTAAAAATTCTTTGGAGCACTGTAACGCATTCCCCCATGTTATGAATGCATTCTGACCGAATGCAGCCAGGTTACGATACAACTGGAGTTCCTTGATGTTTTTCTTATAATCTTCATTGATATTGTTGGTGCATGCCATCCAACTATGGAGTTTGAGAATAATGTATCGTTTACAAATTCTCTTTATTTGACTCTTGTCTACACTCTCACGAGCAGAATTGATTAATAAAGATACCAAGAGAAACGTAAAAAAAAGACAAAAACGCGAGAAAAGAAACTATGAAAGAAAAAAAACAAATATGAATATCCAGAATGATGAGAAGACATGTAAATAACATGTCGACAATGGTCCTTCACAGTCAGATACATGTTGACCATAGAAAAAAGTAAATTAACGTGATAGAAGACGCCAGATGTTTATATAATAAAAATTTAGTTCAATTAAGGATGTGGACCATTGACAACAGAGAATACACATCACAGTCTTCGTAAACGGTGAACGGTTTTATTTCTTTATTAACGAGTGTAGTAATAATTCAAAACAGCTTTTATAAACGTTTCTCTTATGAATATGACTCATGCATTTTTTCTTTGTCAGTGATAAAAGGAATCAGTCTTTTTGGTCAAAGTATGATAGAGATATTCGATTTTTTACTGTGGTCAAGTCGTCTCGAATGCGTAATCCAGAATAAACATTTTCTCTACCGAAAACTAGATGATACAATGTCTATATACCATTGATATCAAAATGTTAATTTAATATTAATTTTTTTTCTTAAATTTAACATAATTAATTTGTTTCAATTCAAAATAATTTACACATGTTTAACATATCACAATTCATTAGTAAGAGTGTTATAGATAATCTCACTCTCATTCTCGTTCTAATTTTTATGGTTTTGTCTTTAATTATTTATTAGCATCTTGAATACAATCTAGGCGTTTCCAACACCATATACATTCTTCTTCAAGTCTGTGTTTCTCACATAAATTGACAAATTTTTTATATATATCCCGAATATTAAATTGAAGTGTTGAATGAAGTTTACGTAAACAAACAGGACAAATATAAAGGCTGTCTTTGCATCAAACAAATATAATAAATACGATGTTTTAAACCAAATAAATGACCTAATTCATGTAGAAGAATTTTTACACAACATCGAATCATTATTACACGATGTTCATCAGTTAATGGTGATGATAGTAACGTTTGTGGTGATGCAGGATATAATGGATCGAGACGTGCAAATGAATAAACATCAAGACCATGTATTGCGCGTGCTTGTCCATAAACTAGGGTGTGGGTTGGTGTTTTCTTCAGCCACGACCACACTCATGCCTACAACCACATCCACACTCAAATCAGAGATCATCGACTGAGCGCTCTCTCAAGAAATCGGTGGTGGCTTACGTGAACTGGTTCACATATGATCTTTTTTTTCTCTTGTTTTCATTCATTTCTTTTCTTCACTATTATTCCTGTTATTAACATCGTTATTATTATAGTTATTCTCGATTGTTAAAGTTTGTCATTCTTATTATTATCACTATTAGTTATTATTATTACCATTATTATCAATAAAATATTATTGATTATAACTATTAATTATTATTAATCACATATCCTGTTATTTGAATATCAAATGCTGTTGGCTGTTTATTGTGAGAATTTCCAATAATACACAGATTAGATTCTCTAGAAATATAATAGCTAATTTAGCCTCAGTATTATGCGGAGGTTGACGCCATATGTTACATCGTCAAACGAGAATCTCTCAAGTGATATCATTTTAAGAGATGTTGATTTTATGCAGCATAAACACGAGTGAAATTGACAAAAATCAACAAAGTAACGTTATTGTCTTCATTATCATAACACAATTTTTCTATGCAATGCAAAAGAAGAAAAACAGGAAGGGCAAATAAGACATCGACGACTATGTAAGTTAAAACAATTGCATGATCATATAGAAACTAGTTGTTGTTCTCTAAAAGACGACGCACAGCGAATACGTTGTGACGTTCTATACGGAGAACGTCAAAATTCCATTTGACAATGTAAAACTTCTGTTCGACTGCATTGTATACATGATGTTTGTCCTTTCCTTACTATTTCTTCTCATCTTACATATTGTACTTATTTGTTTGTCCTTACTTTGTACATCATTTTGTACTTTGTCCCTATCGTAGTACTCTTCCCTTCTTTCCTTATTATCCTTCTCTTCTATATCGTTTTTCTCTTCTCTGATGGTCGAGTATATAAGCGTATGCTTTGTATGTAAACGATGTGGTTATGGATATGAAGAAACATAATAAAGCGTAGTTCCATCAGCGCTAGCTCTTCTTCTATCTAAAATCGTCACATACGTGTGTTGTAGAAGTATTTATTTTTCACGCCAAACTTGCTTTCGTTCGGTCTAAAATGGACATGTTATTTACAACGTTACCTTCTGCGATACTCAGAGTCAACGTGTAGCTGTTTCTCTTTTCAGGTTTTTTTTCAAATTGACACGTGTTGCGCATCTTAGTTCGAACGAGAAAAAAGAGAGTGCAAATAGGCGATAAATTAAAAAAAATGATAAGATTGCGCCCCTGCATTTCGAACCGTGTAGAGTCAATTGTTTTCTTTTCTTCGATCATAGGCAAATACGTTTTTGACGTGTATGACATTGCTAACTGCTATAGCGACTAGTTGGGATAAACTAATTCCAATTACGTGTATTAAGGAAGGTCATTTTATTGCACTATTAATTATTAATTATTTCTCTTCCTATTGTTAGATATTAATTCAATTAAACTGTTAATATTAAATGTTTTATATTTACAATTCATTTAAATGCAATTACAATAAGACGTTTCAGAGATGTCTATCTCCTTCTTCAGTTTGTATTTATTTGTGTTGTTTTTTGTTGTTGTTATTTAAAGTGCGTATTTAACTATTCTTGATTCTTTTTGTTTTTTTCTAATAGTGGAACAGACGATAAAAACATATAAGTTTTATCGACTAGTATTACCGTCTTGTCATTCCATTCCACTATTAGAGAAGAAATAAAAAGAATCAAGAACAGTCAAATACGCACCCAAGTAAGCACAAGACGGGCTAAATGACGCGTCTTTTTTCTAGTCATGTCGCCCGTCATGCCTAGTCTTTGTCTCGAATTCAACTAGTACATGACTAGTCCAGGAGAGGTGGGCGTCATGAAGCCCCGCCTAAATCATACGATTGACAGGCGCCATTATACGTGTCTAGTCTAGTCTTTTTCAAAAAAAGACTCGTCCAGGACTGGGCTGAAGTCGGTTGATACAGAGAGTTATTATCTAATATGCAGACTAGTCCTAGACGAGGACTTTTGAGACAAAGACTAGTCAGGACGCATGACAGGATGCCCGTCCGAAAATGATTTAAACTTGAAAAAGTAAGGACGTCTGGGACAGTATAGGACGAGTTGTAAACCTACATAGTGGACGAGTCCGGACTAGTCTAAATGGAAATATATAAGGATGAAGATTAGATTCGAACATGCATACAATGTATCACTTACCCATCGTTTAGACCACTGAGCCAAATGATCAATAGATCTACTTCTGCATGTTCATGCTCATTCTAAGATGCTATTTAATACAGTTTTACTCTATGTTTTCTTCATGTTCTCATATGAATAAAAATTATCTTTTGCAGAATACGAAATCATTTAGACAACATTAAACAAAGTAAATTTTAAAAAATTTTATAGTTTTTTGAGAAATATCTTTTCATTATTATCGACTAGGAATAATTAGTTGCATACAAAAAATAAATTTTAAATGGAAAAATAAAACACTATTTATTTTATAAATAAACTAGATTTTTTCACATCATGACTTAGTTTAGTGTGAAATTTCAATTGCGGCCTATCTTCGATTAACAGGTAAATTAACTTTGATTCATTTAAATTTATATTGTTACAGTTAAAATTTTTAGAATTTATATTTAAAATAAATAATATACAATTGTGATTTCAAAAGATTTAAATTATTTTGAATATGTTTTTAAATTCAGAACACATGAAAGTTTTAAACTATATGAATTAGCATTTCTCACTGCGAAATATGTATTATTCTCTGTACTTATTCCTACTTTCTTTTATGTTTCGATATACTTTACATTTTCAACCTATGAAAATACAAAATATGATACAGTCTATTAAGAGAAAGATGCACAAAGTATAGTATTCATCTTTCGCCTCACTATTAATTATAACAGACTTTCTGATTGTCGTTCTAGGAAGAGAAAAATTTAATAATACTAGTGACAATCGACATTATTTTAATATAAAATAATAATGCATGTTATTAATTTCCGTAATCACAACACAACAGATCGTGCTTAGTTGTCAATTTACGCAGATTTGAGTACAAGACAGGCAATAAAACGATTGCTATTCTTCTATCTAATCCATGTGGTAAACACATCTGATAATGCATCGATTATTTTTGACGAATGATACATATATTGAAATTTTTTTTCTATTTGCACTACAATTATTTTACTTTTCTTTATTCATCAGTTTAAACGAATTAAGAGGATATATTTAGTTCAAAAAAGTGATTGTTTAGAATGCTTCAGGCTAGTCCAAACCAGGGTGCGCGACACAGTGTTTAAAAAAAAGGACTAGTCATGAACAGTGCAGACGACGCTTTGGACTAGTCCTGATTATTATGAAAGACATTTCGGACTAGTAAAAGTAGTTTGATATCGAATGGTCTCTGATTGTCTAGTGGATGAACGGGAGTCAATCGGTGATTATGACTGCATAAACTGATGTCAGTCTATCTCAGTGTTCTGGTCTGCCGTCAGGATGCCCGTCAAGTTTCGAATACTGTCGGGTTGGATGTTCGAATCCACAGTTTATCTTCTTTTTTCAATTTTCGAACTAGTTTAGACGAGTTCACCGGACAAAATGGACTAGACATGACTGGATTCAAGGACATTCTAGGCTAGTCCAGACGTGTTTGAAGGGCATTTCTTTCAAATGTGACTAGTCATGACGGATGTGCAAGACGTTTCAGACTAGACCTGACGAGTGTTGCGGATATTTCGGACTAGTCATGTTGACCATCTTGGGTAATTTTTTGCTTACTTTTGCACTTTCAATAACAACAACAAAAAATAACACTAATAAATACAAACTGAAGAAGGCGGTAGAGATCGCTGAAACGTCTTATTGTAATTACGTTTAAATGAATTTTAAATAAAAAAACATTAAATATTAACAATTTAATTGAATTCATATCTAACAATAGGAAGAAAAATAATTAATAATTAATAATGTAGTAAACCAATTTTAAGTCTAAATTTGGAATTGGTGTACCCTTAACGGCTAGTGAACCATCGATTTTTGATACACCGCTCAGAAGTGACAGATTTCTGGCAAAAAATAAGAACGAAGCGCATGATTCACATTCTATGTCTTCATGACTTTTAGATAACGTAAATCATCGCATCTAAGAAAATGCCATTGAAAATTATCGGTGCCGGTTTCGGGCGTACAGGAACTGAAAGTACGAAAGTGGCTCTCAATCAACTCGGTTTCAAATGTTATCACATGACCGAAATAGTTAAAGTGGGTCGCACAGCAATTCGACTCTGGATTAACGCTGCTGATAATCCCTCTTGCACTGACTGGGATCAAATATTCGACGGTTATGATGCAACAGTCGACTGGCCCGCCGCTCATTTCTGGAAAACATTGATCGACTATTATCCGGATGCGAAAGTTATTCTGAACGTTCGCGATCCCAAAAAATGGTACACAAGTGTACGTGATACAATATTCGCAATGAGCAGCAGTTTTGTCTTACCAATATTATCCATGTTCTTGCCAAATATGTTCGGTTTTGACGAAATGGTAAAAAAGATTGTCTGGACTGGGACGTTTGATAACCGATTCACTGATAAATCGTATGCAATCGAGAAATTCCGTATCCACAACGACGAAGTAGAACGTGTCGTATCGAAAGATCGACTGCTGCTGTTTGATGTTAAGGAAGGATGGGAACCATTATGTAAATTTCTCAACCTCCCCGTCCCCGATACGGCATTTCCACATGTGAATGATACAAACAGCATGCGAAGAAGATTCGCAAATGCAAAGCGAATAATTTGTGGCTTCTTTGCTTTCATAACGGTAATTATCGCGGCTGTATTGTATTATTTTCTCAATTGAACAGTGCATCGCATAATATCGTCCTCGATTACCTGCTGAATCAAATAGAGACACAAAGGAATTTTTTGTATGTCCTATATAGAATATTTGGATTTACATGTCATCTGACTTAATAAAAATGAAGCATCACTTCTTTTTTTTCTACTATGAGCAAAAAGTAACTTCTCAAAACATACATACTTGTTGTTTCGGATGTCAGTGTGAGTGTAGAAGAATGTCAGTGTTCCCAAATCATCTGGATTTTCGAGAAAAACTCCGAATTTTGGAAATTTTCTATTCTGTAGACTGAAACGCTAGGGGTGTGGGTGTGGGGTGTGGGGTGTGGGGTGTGGAGTGTGGGTGTGGGTGGGTGTGTGAGTGTTGGTGTGAGTATGAAGATAAGAGCAACAGCCACCCCCACCCCCACACCCTCAAGTTCACCAGATTTTCTTTTAGTTTTCCTTCGAATGATATTTCGTAGGGTGTGGGTGGAAGCGAATCTTGTTGCGGTTCACATTCCACACCCATCCATTATTGATTGATCCATTTTTGTGCTGATCTGTAATGGATACAAATCAAACGCACTTTTATTTTTAAATTATGTCAATTGATCTATTTAACGTTTGCTCTTTTTTGTTTATCACGTTCTGAAACTGCCATATGCTACATATAAATGATAATGCATTGATAACGAGCTTTACACAAGTTTAAAGATGTGAGAAACCAAGATATTCGTCATTTTTGGTATTCAAACAGGTAAATAACAGTGTCAAAAGATGATGTTACAATATTTAACATGCTTCTTCGGGTGAGTATTCAAAAATTAAAGAGATAGGCCAGATCAGACTAACGAAATATTTCGTTGCTTGTGTATTTTATTTTACTGATCTGTCTCAACTGAAATATCTATCAAAAATAATTTTTTTTCTGTTTCTGATGTTTTTCAATTCACAGAGATTCTAAGAGACTGAATTCTTTATTAATTTTATTCATAATCATTGAGAATAATTGATCAATCTGTATCATCTTTAGAGTTATCATTGGAAACAGTGGTTAGTGTATGCTAATATTCTTTTTTAAATATGAATTATTTTCTCTTCAATATCTTTGATTTTGTTTTAGGCGAAGCTATTTATAAAGAATCAAACGAATGTAAGTGACGTGCAACACTATTATATGCTTTAAATTTGACCATTTTGATTTCGGTCTCAACAAAGTGCATAGTACGATTGTATCGAGCAACGATGAATGTTAAATGGTTTTTCTTGATGTCGTTCTCTTTCTAGTAGTAATAATATTACGAGTCCAGTGTATACAATTAAGCTCAAAATTGACTACTGTATGTCCATAAAACTATTTTAAACGATAACTAGAAAAGTGTTAGATTAGTGATTTTTGTAGCGAATAAAATAGTGTGAAGCTCTTTGATGTCTAGGAAAAAGAAAAATAAATGAAATATTTTCATTTAAATTTTAGGTCCAGGTGGTCTTGCATGGAACAAAAGAGGTACGACAGTCATTGGCAATGGTATAGGTTCAGGTCCAGATCAATTATATCTACCTAATGGTATATTTATCGAACCGAAAACACATATCTTATACGTTGCTGATGTGTCCAATAGCCGCATTCAAAAACGTTATCCGAGTGGTGATATAGAAACAGCTCCGGATCAAGCGAATGGTACCAGTGGCAAAGCACCAAATATGCTATCAGGTCCAGCAGATATCTTCGCGGATGAAAATGAAAATATCTTCATCGCTGATTGGGGTAATCAACGAATTCAATATTAGGAAAAAAATGCCAACAGTGGCAAAACAGTCGCAGGGAATGGTAGTCGTGGTCCAGCATTAAATCAATTTAGTTTTCCCAGTACAGTTTTCTTTGATTTCAAGAAAAATATAATAGTTAGTGATTATGAAAATCAACGCGTAACCCAATGGTCATTCTCTTTTGATCCAAAAAAATCGATTGGAACAATCATAGCTGTAAGTTTCCAATTTTATTTCTAGTGAATAATGAGTTGATCCTTGAATGATTAATATTTCGAATGGAAATAATTAGCTAGGCTATCATTTTAATATAGTTAACTTGATTATTTGTTTTAGGGTGGTAATGGTGCTGGTCTCAATCCATATCAATTGAATGGTCCAACTGGTTTATATTACGATGAACAAAATCAAATTTTGTACTTATCGAATGAACAATCGCATTCAATAACACAATGGGTTCTTGGAGACTATGAACCTCGTAATATTTATGCTGGTATAACTGGAAGACCTGGAAATAGTGCAGCACAATTATTTTATCCAGAAGGCATAACTCTTGATAAATATGGTAATTTATATGTTACTGATACTTCTAATCATCGAATACAAATGTTTTGTCCAGATGCTATACTAGGCATTACAATTGCAGGTACAGGCCAACTTGGCAATAGCAGCAGCGAATTGAGTTATCTGGCTGACATTGCATTTGACTCAGACCTTAATGTATATGTTTCAGACAGATATAATAATCGCATACAAAAGTTTAACAGAATTCATTGAAGATGTTATTTCATGGGTTGATCTATCGTGACACCATTATTGTTTCTGAATATGACGTGGTATATTTTTAAGAATAAAATCTTGATCAAAATCAAAAACTGATTGGTTTTATATGTTATGCCTGAATCCATGTTCGTTCTTACACTTCAAGTTTAAATATTTTAATAACATTGTAGATGTTTACTCTTAAAGAATATTTTGAGGATACGGGATGTGGGGTGTATAAATGCTCATATTTTCAATGTTATCTTGAATGATTAATGGTTAATGATAAATTTAAGTAACATTCATACCCTCATTCTCATCTACTTCGATTTCAATAATATCATGTGTATACAAATAAATTTCAGCCAAGTTTTTCCTTTCTAATCTAACAGACAATCATCGATAACAGAAGATGATACTTAATCCAGAACAATAATGATGAGTAAATAATATAAAACAATCCCTTTTTTTTCATGTATCTTTGGAAATTATTTTCTACATGAAAATATATCAAAACAAATAAAACACGTGTTCAAATGTTTCGTTTTTCTTATTGTCGTTCTCTTCCTTGTCATACATTTGAATATGCACAAACATAAAACCATATTAATTGTATATGTAGAAGAAAGCTTGATAAACAATAAAACTTTGGACACAAACTACAGAATAGTATATATGCTTCAAGTTTTATATGCATGATACTTTTCTCTTGTCTACGTAACCAGCAGCAATTGTTAGCACCATTTGGAGTAGTTTCGGGAAACCATGAAGTAAACGGGCATCATTATACAGGCTGTTAGAATCATCTAATGGTAATACCTTATTGTGGGGTGTGGGTATGAGTGGAACAATCTTCAACCAACAACCCACACCGTCACCCTAAAGAAAAGATCTTTGACTATATATCTTTCTTTTTTATCAGTACTTTTATTTCTTTAAAGTCAACTGAAGTATACTAACAGAATACCAACAAAAACTGAATTTGAGTTAGAATACCTAACCAAGTTGTCGTATACATTACCATATGTGAATTGTTTGACAGTTGTATCTATGTTTATAGGCATCATTCAAGTAGTAAAAACAAACAAAATTATTTTTTTCCTTTTTGAAATTCCAAAAAATGTATTTAGAGATAAATATGAAATAGTAATTCATTTGATACCTATTTGCTCCATGATAATGAAAGATACAGAAGAAAGTACTACGTAATAAACTTATTCAATTACTAAATGTGTTGAATTATAACGTAAATATGTATCTAATATCTCGTCTTGATTGCCACATATCTTCCTTTCAACGATCTTGATAACGATCATCGATAAGTAGATGTTAGATCCTCTGCTTTCTGTACTCAAAGCATACGATTAGAGGAGAAAGCAAGATAATATTCTCTCCTAAGTTATTCTTGCGCTCTGTATTTCTCTCTTTGGAGTTTTCCTGCTCTGGATAACTAACATTTTTAATAGTTTGATGCACTGAAGCAAGTCACTTGATGTATTTTCTTTTTAATACGATTCTGTTTCTCTTTGAGTTGATTCAAGTCAAAGAGAAAGTGAATAAAATGCAAATAGGAACTAAATCTGATCACCTACTAAAGAATAATTTATTAAAAAGACAGAAAATAAGACAAACATAATAAGCATGGTTTGATCGTCAACATATCTAAAATTAATTTAATGGATACTGCAGAATATTATGTGCGAAACCTAGCTCAATATCTGGACAAGAATTTCAAGTATCCTTTTACTGAACATGTTTCGACCGAGTAGCTGATTAGGTATCCGAGGAATATCTTATCCTACAATACATAAAATTTTAATATCTTCCATAAAATACTGATGTATTGCGCATTTTTGAATAGGATTTCTAAGTGATACTTTTGTAGGATACCATAGGTGATGCACGGTTAATTTTTTAGGTGAAACCATATCATCCAAATGGATCTATTTTGTTCCTGTTGTCTAACAGTGGGAGGGAGAATGAAGACAAGAACAACATCCATCCTCAAGCAAAATGCCACAGAAATTTAAAAACAATATCATTTTGAAAACTATTAATATAAATAGGTTATGTGTGAAGCAAAAATATATGTTTCTATTGATCAGACTTTTCTTTACAAATTTACTCGCACAAGAAATAGCCACGTAGGAAAAATTATTCCCTATTGATGATGAAAATATTAAAATTTTCACTTTAGAACATATTTGTCTGGGAAAAAATGATGAATGAATGGTTCTTCTGTAGCTTGAGGGTGTGGCTGAATGAAAGAAAATCAACACTCGCATCCACCTCGGCATTTATACAGTGCAAGATCGTCTATCAATAAGAGAAGGAAAACATACAAAGAACTAAACAAATGCCGTGTGAAGCAATCTTATTGGGTTGGCAAGAAAGTTTTCCGTCTTTTTTTATTATCTTAACACATTGCTGTAACTTTTTTATTTGATAAGTTATCGACTTGATTTAAGTGTCAATGGAAAGAATATTGTCTCGTGAAGTAGTTATTTTATTCTTTTGGTTGGGTTTCATACTATTCCTATTACAATTTGTGATGTAATGACTATGATGTCATATGACCACGAGGTCACGTGGGTACGAGGTCACGTGACTACTACTTGTTCAGTGTTGGAGTACATTCTGGAACTTTCTATGGTTTCTATTCCTCTTTCGTGAATGGGTTCTTGCGTCATGTTCTGGAATGTGCTATTTTCAACACTATATACGGTATATAGGCTGTCCGCTGTTACTCGTTCATTCTTTTCTCAGTTGTACAGTTAGATCGTTAGTTTCCACGTGTGAATAAACAAGCTCCTCAACTCGTGATTTCTGTTTCACATCGGACTCGGCCTGAAGACGTGACACCATTTGCTTTGCATTATATAGATGCACAAAAGCTTCACATTCGACACTGTATATTGTTTGAATTCGACCGAGGACTCTCAGGAGCGGCAGCAGCAAAAGAAATCTGTGAGGTGTACGGCGACGGCTCCACTACCAAATTCACTTGTGATCGCTGGTACGCCAGATTTCGTTCCGGTGACAGGACTTTGACGGACCAACCACGTGAGGGACGCCCTTCGATCATCAATGACGACGTTTTGGAAAGCCTGCTTGAGACGAATCCCCGGCAGGCCACACGTGAACTTGCGAAGCAGCTAGGATGTTCACACACCACAGTTGAAAATCATCTTCATGCGCTTGGCAAGATCCAAAAGTATGGAAGTTGGGTGCCACACGAACTGTCCGCCAATGACAAGGGTCAGCGAGTTTCAGCTTGCGTTTCGCTTCTCTCCCGTCACCAAAAAAGCTCTTTTCTTGAGCGGATTGTCACCGGAGATCAGAAATGGGTCCTCCACATTAACATCGGCCGCAAGAAACAGTGGTTGAACCCGGGGCAGAAGCCGTTGCCGGATGTCAAAGCGGATCTTTATCCAAAGAAGATTCTCTTGTGTATCTGGTGGGAGCTAAAGGGGGTACTTTACTACGAGCTTCTCGACGACGCTACCATCACCGCCGAGGTCTACGCTCATCAATTACAGCGTGTCCAGGAAGCACTGCTTGAAAAACATCCAACGCTGATCAATGGAAAGGGAGTGATTTTGCTTCAAGACAACGCCCAGCCACACATTGCGAAGATAACGCGAGAAAAAATTCAGAAGTTGGGCTGGGAAGTCCTCCCTCATCCACCATTTTCCCCAGACCTGACGCCATCGGATTACCATCTATTCCTCTCTTTTCGGAACCATCTAGCTGAGAAACGCTTTGAACACTACGATACTCTCAATTCTAACCTCGCCGCTTTTTTGATTCAAAAGAGCCAGACTTTTATAAAAACGGGATCTACCAACTGCCGAAAAGATGAGCCACTGTTATTGATAATAACGGCGAATATATTATTGATTGATGTTGTTTTGTTCTGTTGAAAAATAAATTTTGTTGTTTAGTAAAAAAGAAAAAGAAGCAAAACTTTCGTGTCAACCCAATATTTAGTTTTTCCACATCATGACCGAGAAGATTTTGACAGTTGAATAATGTCCACTGAATTATAGTTTTGACAGTTGCTTGCTTTTCGTTGTCGATTGGAATGATGGCTCATCATATATCAATATTATGTAAATTTTTTTTCTCATATGAAAGATGGCAACTCCATATCAGAGTTTCATACGTGCCAGCGAGTGAATGAGTACTTAATAGGATTTATGTTGAAACATTGTACTAACCGATGTCTACAACGCACAAAAGTATAGATTTGAAACAAAACATTCGAAATTTTTTGACTGTTAGTTGCATTTTTTCAAACATTTGACGTAAAAAATTTTCGCGACGCATTGTATCGTGCTTGTTAATAATGTAATGCAATAAAGAATAAGAAAGAAAGAAGAAAAATATTATAACATGATAATTTCCAATCATGAATAAAAAAAATGAAAGAAAAGATGTCGGGATATGTTGAAAGTCGTACGTGAAAGCATTCATAGGCACAGCATTATTCTCGATCAATTCTTGTTTCTGCTAAATTGTAACATGATAGCAATAAGAATGTTATAAATCGTTTTTCATTATTATGATTTTAACAAAATATATTAGCTGTCTATGCAAAGTAAATCGTACACAAACCAACTGGATTGTGAATGAGATTTTGTTTGCCACTAAATTGGCCTGTACTTTATTCATGAAACGTCTTTGACGAATACAGATATAAGTGCATGTAGTTATTTATACATGAATGGGTGACAAAATTTTCAAATGTATTACTAATCTTAATAAGAGAAAACTCATTGAGATATCAAAAGAGTTCTAACTTGATGTAAAATTAGCATGATCTTCGACTTTCTCAGATAGTTCTTGACATTAGTTTATTTTCGATTTTGTTTTATGTTATAAGAATATCTATAATATTGAAAAAGAGTAATACTATCAAACAAAACAAGAAGACAGTAAAAAAAGCATCAGGATAGTTTGGAAAATAGACTTTACTGGAAATCGAATTTATTGCTCACCAACATGCTGGTCATATTTCCTTTTCTTTATTGTGTTTTCAATAAGACCATGATCGAATGCACAATTCTTAGTTTTTGGCTTCTAAGCCACTAATCAGTTTTGGCTTTTGAAAATATTGGACATTGTTGTGAGGGTTTCTGAGTGTTGGTGTGGATCGTTGTCGATGTGAATGTAGTCGAATTACAGAACGACAGTCCACCCCCACACCCTCGTTAGTGAAGTTTCATTAGAAATTACTTTGAAATAGCTGAGATATCCATTGTGGCTTCAAAACATTTTTTGAATACAAAAGCTGACTTTTAAGTTGATCTTTTGTAACTCAGTTTAGTACAGACCAATTTACTTAAAAATTTGCTTTTAGTCTTTATAGGTCTACGAATGTTTGTTGCAGTTTACAAAGTCGTAATCTCTACTGAAGACGAAGCACGACTAGATAATCGTCCGACCAGCGCATGCCTCGCCAAACGCTTATATCACATCACATTGACACAGTCTTTTCATCTAAGCATATACACATGAGCCCATGACGAAGAATACAGAGTCTGAATTACACTCACATACGGCCGTATACTTTCTATATTTCTCCGTATGCGGTCACAGCAATATACGATGGGTATTAGTAATTTACGCTCTAACCCACTCTGAGTCACCTTGCACCATTCTAAGTCACTCGGAACAAATCTAAACCATTCTAAGTCCATGCAAATTTAGGAAATCCCTCTGTCTAAAAGTCATTCCATCTAAGTGACAATCACTTCCAGCATAAAATTGCACAATTAATCTCGTTGATTTGGCTTATATTTATATAGTAGATAGATACATCTGCGTTATGAATAAACTGAAAGTTTCAGCTCGAACAGATATAATATTCAGGAGATATTGATGTTGGAATGATAACTACTGTAGAGCATAGATGTCGACGTGGGTGAGTCTTCTTTTGTACAACCAGTCCCCATACTTCCGCATCCACACTCTTTCCATAGCAAAATCTTTCAAAACTTATATGAAGTTTTCCTCACATTATAAGTATTATTCGTTGTACTAGCTACTGAAATGTAACAGTTATCAATGAAGGGAGCACTAAAACAGTCACAGCTTTTTGAATCATACTATCTTTAGTTTATATAATCTGGACACTGTAATCTCTTGTGTTTGGGTGTGACTGTGGAGAAAAAATACTCAGATCTACACTCACACTGATGCTCACCCACACCCAAATAAGGATGGTTCAAGACAAGAAGGAAAAAAAAAGGAAAGAAGAACCACTATAGAGCCTACAAATACGATATTACCGCAATAAATGCCATGACAATATAGGTGCTCATTCTAGCAGTTTCGGTGATAGATTGGTGACATTTTCAAGAACAGAATAGCATGAAATGAAATAGATGCAAACAAGCTGAAATACAAACAACTTCAGAATTGCAGCCATGAAGAAAAGAGAGTATGTGTGAGCTAATAAAGGGAATATATCCATTTCCATTCACACAAGTATTGTTAGAAACTTTAACAGTTGAATCCATTTGTTATGGAAGGTTCGTGAAAATTATTTTATTTATTATGAGTTGAATAATCATAGTTTATGAGAAAAAATATCACTTTTCTTTGATTTCGATGTCCATGTGGAATTTTATCATATTGCACCCATCGGTCAATCATCTGAACCGCTGCTTGATGCACTGCTGCCTCCATGTCTTCTTTCTCTGCCTCTGCCTCTGCCTCTGCCTCTTCCTCTTCCTCTTCCATGCCCTCTGCCTCTGTTTTCACGTTCGCTTTCATCACTTTCATCGTCTTCATCAACCTCTTGAATTTCATGATCATCATCATTATCATCAACGTCTAATGCTTTCATTTGATAATCAATAGGATCATCATGATCCCAATAATCATGACCTAAATCATCATTTTCCACTTGACGAATGGTCCATGCATCGAAGCATAAATCTGAATTAGTCAAATAATCATAGGGAATATAACAGTATCCTTTATCACCCTAACAGAAGATTTAGTATAAATATTTATTTAAAAAGAGACAATTATATTTACCCAATTTTCTCCCCATGAATTTCGAACAATAAATGCTCTTGATTGATCGCTATAGCCGACAGCTAACATCGCATGTCTATAGTGGAAATCATATACAAGATAACTGATTTATTTTTAACGATATTGTATTCCTACCTGCCGTGTTCGGTTCGACCTTGTTCAGTTTCATTTGGCATCGGTACAACACCAGTTGCTGCAGCTTTATCAAAGGTTTTATACAATCGTAAACCAAATGCAAATGGAAAACCTTGTGCAAGACAGGCTTTCATTTCACTTAAATTTATGTTTATTTTCAACGCTTCTGTTATTTGATAATCTTTAGCTTGTTCATAAGCTTCATCAGAAGGTTTTACATTAACAGATGATATATTGTACGGCCAAACTGATTCAAAACAAGTTCCATACTCTTCTAATGCTTCAATAGCTTTTGTCATTGAACAGCCGTTATCAGTTATCGGAGCATTCGGATCCTTCTTAAATCGTCCGTTATAATAAATAAATAAACGGCTCACGTCGACATATGAACCAGTCGCTTTTTTCATCAAATATTCGTAGGCTCCTATAATAAGACATAGTACTAAAAAAGAAAAATCTATTTCGTTTATTTGTGTACCTGCAAGTGAGTTAGCCGTGCTAAATGAAATATGTAAGACCAAAATGATCGATATTTCTATATGAAAATATCTTCTTACCAACTACCAATTTTTGATTGGTTTTCAACAGGTGTCATATCTGGTCGAAGATCAACTTTTGGTGGAAGTTGGTCATCATTAAGAAGAATATGATCGGAAAAAAACTGTCGCAAATTTTCTTTCGATGGCAAGTTAACTGATGGCATAATGCCATTGAGTCGAAATTTTTGAGCGCTAAATCGATTGTATAGATAGGTTCGAAGTGGCATTTTTTAATATTTATGCTACAAGAAAAAAAAATTTCCTATTACTTATATGAATACGTTCGGTATCTCTCGTTAGTTACACAAGTAATAACGAATGTAGTGTCTCTTTTTCTTCTTTCTATATAATATTAAATCGATACATTCGTCTTTCTTTTCGACTACCTTGTGTGTACATGCATCGTTTCATGTCTATGCATTAGTTGCCAGCCGGCATGCATCTTTTTTTCTTTCTTTCTTTCCTTATTGTAACATTTAGATAAAAAAATAATGCTTGTCAATCATACTTGACTATATGCCTCAAGGTTATCAGAGAAAAAATCTGTTGAATATATTCATTTTTGTTAATTTCGATTATTTGAAAATATTTATGTTCCTTCTATAGTGATTTGTTAATGCATGTTCTTGAAAGATACTGAATCTGTGATGTATGAAATGAGACGGACACAGAAAAATCTTGCTTTTGACGTATGAAATATAAATAGACAGAAGAACTTCTGGACCCGCAACTTGTAAAATAACATGCTTTAAAGTCAATTTTTTGAGCGAGTATTTTGTCCTAGTTAGCAACATGATTTTCAACTTTTGACTTGAAGCTTAACAAGCAGATCCGTATGAGATTTGTTTTTGTTTTCTTGCAAAAGTTATTATAAATTCCGGTGTGAAGATTGTCACAATCGGATGTTCTCATGAATATCCATCTCTATGCAAAATGTACAGTCTTGAATCGAAGATAAATTTATCATGCATTCTTGCGTGAAGCATACCAGATATTTAATCGGCAACGACTGCTAAAAGCTGAGATCGTTTTAGTCTGCACATGAAGTACTGGTGATGATTTGGTCTTACTTTATTAAATAAAGATAAAGTCAAGAAATAAAAGATTTCTTTTCTAAACGCTAATGTGACTGGAAACGTTGCAGCGCACAGATCATATCTTCAGAAAGATTTTACTGGTCAAATAAATATATTTTGACTGAAAACAAGTTAGTTAAGAAACAAAATGAATTTGTGCTTTTTTAATATTTTGTCAATTTCAGTTAGAAAAACAACAATTCCGTCAAAACTAATATCATATTCTGAATCAGCCAAAAAACGAAACTGAATGATGAGTATTTCAAGTATTTTAGAAGCAGTTATTTTTGATAGGAAAATTTATCATCTACTTCCTCTGAAACTTTTTAGGCCGAAAAATGTGTCTCATGAAAACGTCTATTTAATCGTTTCAACATCCTCTATTGTGTGTTTGAGTATCATTTTAGACTTTTAAAGTTTATTCGTCACTATCTGAATCACTTTCTAGTGAAGTTTAAGTTTTGGTCCAAAACTCTGAGGGGGAGTGGAAGACAAATTTTTCGATCAGAAGGAAATGTCTCAAAAACTTCTGAAATGTACATAAGTCGACTTTCTTTGGTATGCGGATTCAGAATCTGATATTAATTTTGATTCAATCATCATTTTTGTAGATGAAACTTGCTAAATATCAAGAAAAAAGGTACAAATTCATGTCATTTCTTAACCAGCTTATTTTCAATCAAAATATTTTTTTTAATAATAAAAGTATTTGTGAATATACGCTCTACGGTTCAAGATCACTTTCAGCCGCATTATTGTTAGAAAAAAATCTCTTATTTCTTTATTTTTGAAAAATAAAGATAAAGGGCTAGTCCTAATCACAAAATAACATAGAATGTTGAATATCGAATGTCAAAGAGCTAAATTTGTAATTCAATAAATAATATTTGTGTATTTTTTATCAATTATATGAAGCAATCATTCATTTTATGCATCAATTGGCTAATAAGCAAATGCTCATGCTTGAAACATTTGAAATCTTTTAATTTTGTTTGTAGTTTTCGAAACATTAGTAATGTAAATATCATATAACCTTGAGTGCATGTGATTATCTAATGAAAATCATGCCACATAACAGAATGTATATAACGATTGATCGTTCTTCTAAAACAAAGTCTGTCAGTACACTGTTGCTTATTTTTTATTGATTTTCATGGCTTGGGTATTCAAGACAAACAAGATTGAATCAGCAATCGAAAACAGTACCATGCAACAAGCACAAATGCTAACTTATCCAATTAGGTTTGTTTCTCATCGACGACTCGTATTCGAAATGAACTCTAAAAACCGCTGAACGACAAGGTTTCAAAGGGTTATAACACTTTCGAATTACTAATTTACATAAAAGCATGATTATACATATTAATTTGATAATATTTGAACACGGCGTTCCACTTAAAAATAGATAATAATATAAAAATAAAATATCACTTTACTAAAAGAATGTTTTTTTAGATGTAGATTAGTTTATACATGTGGATGCAGTTTATGACGCTGCAAGCATACTAATCGAAAGTATTAAAATTTTAGGCATGAGGTGTAGTCGAGTGAATAGAGAGTCATTCCTTTTTATTGGGAACTTTTCGATGGTCTCTTTTCTTTATAAATGTGCGGGTATGGGTGTGTTGGTGTTAATAAAAAGACACGTACCCACACCCATCCACACCCTACACCCCACACTCACACCCACCCTAGAGTAAACTCTTCTCTATCGAATTGATTATATTCTTATTTTATATTATTTGATTTTTTAATTGAATTCTGAATCTCTTTTTTTGCATCCACTTTCCTTTCTTCATATATTCCATACGATCATACAGATATAACATGGATATTGAACAGTTTATATACTTCCTATAGATTCTGGTGTAGTTTTACATGCTGAATTCGAATATATTAACAGATTTTTAATGTTAGCAAATACTATAGTCTATCACCTTTATTTCAAGAAAGATACGTTTTTTATGCGTAATAGTCATAAAAACAAAATATCTATTAATATTATGTCACCTATATGTTCATCAAAATCGAATCGAATTCTGAATAATTTTTTGACCAAAATGTTCAGCGCAACAAACTGTATAAGGTCTGAAAGTTTCAGTGAATTTCGAGATGGTCATTGAATTTAATGATTTGATCTCACAAATTTAGTGATCAAAATTCAGTGAAAATTTCGAATATAAAATAGTTTTTGACCTTGTTCTGTCCAAAATCATAGGTGGAAAGAAAACTAATTAGTACATCTCGTAGAGCAAGTTCTGCTCTATCAAACTGGTACTACCACCATTCTGGGGAATTCGGGTTTTCTTATTGACTTTTTTCATTACTTTTTCTCGTTAACATGTTGTTCTAGTGAACATGTATATAAAAAAAATCATAGAAAATTTTTTCAATTCATAAGGATTCGGAATCTATAATTGGTTTTAAAATTCGAGTGACTAATGATGAATTGTCATCATTTTTTTGATAAGTCACCGCTTCGATTTTTTGCATAAAATGTACGAGTGCATAAAATAGCCTAAATAGCATTTGACCTATATCTGTGCGAAACAAATTTATTACCAAAATGATTAGCGAAAAAAGCTCTACAAATCCTGAAAGTTTCAATCGATTTGGGCGTGGTCTCCGGATCGACTGGCGAGACCCCATGGATACACCCAATATATAAATCAACAGAAACTTAAACGCTAACAAAAAAGAATGGCATGAACTGAGACAATTCGATATCATTCTCACAAGTCTTACTGATTTCATTATGCAAATTAAGCCCAATGATACATAAAAACAGTATGAAAAAATGTACGTCAGAGAGATACGACAGATATGTCGTTTTCTTATAGCTTCTTATTTGTGTCGTTCTAATTTGCAGAGACTAATAGGGTGTGGGTGTGGTGGGCGTGGGTGTGGATAAGTTATCGATAGGAGTAACATCGACAACGGCACACCCACAGCCATACTCACACCCCACATCCACGCCCACAAAAATTAAGGTCTTCAAGATGGCTTTGAATGGTTAGTAGACGCGTTACTCACTAAAAATATTAATAGTTTGCAATCGTTAATAAGCCGACTCTGTTGCTGATATGGCTATTAGAATTTGGAGGAAATGCACGCGAAGAAGCGGTATTAAGGCAATAAATCCAAGATTGTAATTTTATTTGTTTATTTTGAACGAGTATTAAAAAGGCCTTCTCTGACAAGTAGTAGAAAAAATGCTCGCGAAGATATTTCTCGTTTAAAAAGAGAATTCATATTTCGTCTGAATATATATTTCATGGCATTGTTATCATGCCTAAATGTGGTAGTTTGTAAAATATTTTAGGGTTATATTGCAGTTCGTATACAGAACTTGCGAAACAAAATTTAAACCAGTACGACAATAAGATTTTATTTAAAATTTAGGTGTTCATAATCGATAACAAAATAAAGAAAGCGTAACGTGAGAGAATTCTTTGAGTTTGAAAGAAATCAAGAAGGAAATTCATAAATGCTGTTATTCTTGAGAAATATCTCGTTTGTACACTAATCGACATTCTTGCCATCGTCCTTTCCAGATTCTTGTTTTTCTTGATCAGTCAGCCAAGATTCTTTTTAATCTTGAATTTCAGGCACGATACTTTTTAAGAGGAAAGAAAAAAGAAACTTGCCTGAAGTTCAAGATAAAAGAATCTTGACTATTTGATCAAGAAAAACAAGAATCTGCAAGGAATAACAAGATAATCAGAATTTCTTGAAGTTCAGATAAGGCTCTTGTGTCAGAAAAGAAAAAAGATTTTTCTCTGATCTTCAAGACAAACGTCATGCGATGTTTCTGTGTGCATGTATCTATATATATCAATGTTTATACGTTATTTATTCATTTTTAGATGATGATAATCATTGATTATTGTGTTCAATTAAATGGACAAAAGATATTCTTTTCAAATAATGTTTGGGTTGCATGTCAATATCAGGTGAACGAAAATATTTAATAGTAAATATGCATGTATTGACTCATATTAGTGAGTCAATTTATAATTAATTTGAGATTTTTCAATAACAACATTATCACAACAAGTACTTGGCGTTAAATATTAACGATTATTGATTCTACATAATAGAAATATCAAAAACACGAATTATAATAGTAGGAGTATATTTTTAATGCCAATAAAATATTTTAATCATTTTTCTTTGTTTCTTAATTTTATGTAAATAAAGTATTTGTATCATTTTCTCCCTTGATTTTTATGTAAATAAATTACTTATAATAATATGTTGTTTTTTATTATGAACATGTCAAATTCAAGAAAAAAAAGAAATCCGACAAGAACTTCAAGAAAACACAAGCAGGCAAGAAGTACAAGAAAAAAAAGAATCAGCGAAGAAAAACAAGAAAAAGGAATCAGATAAGAATTTCAAGAAAAAAAAGAATCAGGCAAGAATTCAAGAATCTTGCCTGACAAGATATTTCTTGCCTCGTCAGCCAAGATTCGGTCTACATGGATCTACCAGAAAGTCAAGATCGTCAATTAGTGTATGCAACCCAAGTATACATATTTTTACTGCCGAAAGTGGATTCGGTTCGATCAGCTCAATTACTTTTATTATAATAACGAAATTTGTCATATGTCTGTATAAGTCAGTTTATCCTTTATTTTATAGCTGGAATTATTGATGAACTCTTGTATCTGTATAATCTTCACTTCTATTGATCTAGGTACGCATTAAGTAATCAAAACATCTAATACTTTCTACTGCTAGGCTTATATATATAGTTGCTGCATATTTGTTTTTATTATTAGATTGTCTATAAAATATCCACTTCGATTGTGAATTTTATTTTCATAATGTATGTTTCTTTTAGTAAAACTTTTGCAACATTCAACGTATTTGACCTTAAGTTTTTCACTCAGAATCGAATTGCAACATCACCATACCTATACTCATAAGCATCCTCTGAAATGGAATAAAAGCTGATGAGTTTTGGAATAGAAAAGAAAAAGGATGACATTACATAGTGATTGTGCAATTTTTGCCACATTGACGCACAACGTGGCAAGAACAACATACGTTTCTTGGTCATGAATCATCACATCTCAAAACAAAAAAAATTATTCATATATGCACGCGTATATATAAAGCCATACAAATTTATGTGTCGAGTAGTATAAGAAAAATAATCTATAACGTATACAATAATGGGTTCATCATTCACAAAAATGCTATCCTATTTTCCTCGGAAGGAACAAGTTCGCATGCTTATGTTGGGTCTCGACGCAGCTGGTAAGTCTATTTTGACATTTCTGTTGTTGATTATTTAATTCAAGTATTTATGCTTTCCTCATATTTTAGGTAAAACTACTATTCTTTATAAGATGAAACTCAGTGAACTCCTGACAACGATTCCTACGATTGGTTTCAATGTAGAAACACTTGAATTTAAAAATCTCAGCTTGACAACTTGGGATGTTGGTGGTCGCGATAAAATCCGACCTCTGTGGCGACACTATTATCAAAACACTAATGCCATAGTTTTTGTAGTCGATTCAAATGATCGAGAACGAATAAATGATGCCTCTGAACAGTTGCATTCGATGATCAATGAAGATGAACTCCGTGACAAACCGCTTCTCATTTTAGCCAATAAACAAGATTTACCAAATGCAATGTCGACTATTGAATTACAAGATAAACTTGGTTTGGATAAATTGACTAGCCACAGGAAATGGTATGTACAAGCAACAGTAGCTACAACAGGCGACGGTCTTTACGAAGGTTTTGAATGGTTGACAAAGGCAGCGGTAAACAAAAATGAGAATATATCACAGCCACTAAAAGAAACAGTACACGACTCGAAAATGATGAAAGACGACATCCTATCGATGTTTTATTCAACCAATTGGAAATCAATATTTGCTAAATTCATCCAACAATGAAGATATGCGATCTACTCGAACAACTTTGTTTGCAGATGTGTGACAGATGAATTTAGATTTAAGTTGAGATTGTAATAGTGTTTTATAACGCTCTCATACAATATATCATGATCTAATCAACAAAAAAAGACTGTCAGCTATGCCTAATATAATTCGATTGTATGCTAAAATGTACTTGAACATAGAAACGTCTTTAACTTGTTATTTTGCATTTGAATATTAATGTGTTATGTACATTTATTTTGTTCAATAGAATACATATTTCGCTGACACGGTTTTTTCATTTTTCAGAGATTAAATGGTTGAGGAATGTTTTCTCGGAAAGTATCATTCTGGTTAAGTGTTGAAGGCGATTTGGATATGTTTGATTCGAGACGGAGAGAAAAATCACAGTCGAACCTCACAACTTCAATACATTCTTTGCTTCTCACAATTAGATTTGTTAATAAACTAGGGTGGGGGTGGTGTGGGCGTACTTTACCTGGATATACGCATCCGGTAAATTCAACTTTGGTCGAAAGTAAAAATGTTGAAATGACAATGTCGAAGAATTCGGAATGTAAAACTGTCGAAACGTAGGATAGAAACTTATAAATATTTTCTGCTTCAAAATTTTAAAAAATACGTAGGTTAATAAAACCAAATATGTATTATATTAGAAAAGAAAACGTAAAAGACGAATAAAATGCTTGGAAACATGATGTTATCGTTATTAAATAATGGTCTCGTTTTACAATCATAACTTCTTTTTTTCGCTACAACTAATGACAAGCCATGAAGAAGATCGGATGCTGTAATCAAATAATTATTATATCAATTATACAACGTGTTAATTCGGCTTTGTAATGCTGTTGTTATCTTGTTTTTCTGCTTAGATGCACCCGAAGACCATTGAAGTACAATATTCTGTACACGTTTTTCTTCTGCTTTCATGATATTGATCAAATTCCATATATTTAGATGATTTTGATAAATACGAGAATTTATTCCATTGTGATAGCTTACAGTAAAAAAGAAAAAAATGTTGCTTTACTTGGTTAAATATAAACCGTCACCTTCGCAAATATTATTTGTTCGGCTATCAATACCGTATACATTCCATAAATCAATATTTGAGGTCCAATTGTTGTCAAAACATTCCAATTATAATTTCATCGGTGAAAGAGGTAAAAGATCAGCAGCTTCACGTATTTCATCTAAACCATATAAAACTTTATCACGTGGCATCAACGGCAAAGCCATCAACTTTCTACACAAAGTACGTAATGTTTCATCAATCATATATTGCTGTTGCAATCCAACAAACTGGATGCGCCTGTAAATAGCTTGAGAAAAATGAAAATAACAGCATAAATGTTGTGCGGCTGTAAACTTAAAAACAACAAAATATCAAACGATGTTTTTTCTAAGTAGGATATGATATAGTTACTTCATCTTTTACTGCAGAAATACAACTGGGTTCCGATTTTGAAAGATTTAGGCTACATCTTTCTCCGATTTGAGAGAAATTCGCAGCGTTACATCTTTCCTCAGTTTCGGTAAAATATGGGCTACATCATTCTCGAATTTTGGGAGATTTAGACTACATCTTTTTCCGGTTTTGGTCAAGTCTGGAATATAGCTTTCTCCGGTGTTGGAGAAATTCGAGCTGCAAGATTCTCTAATTTTGGGACAACTTGACTCTGATCTCCTCGATTTTTGAAAAATTCAATTTAGTAAAATGAAGATCGTAAAAAATCGATTACGAACGACGACGGATGTTGAATGTTTACAATAATTGTTAATATGCGCGATAGAAACAGTAGCTCTTGATCAATTAGATAATAAAGAATTAGTAGAAAAATGGCCGATGAACGAAACTAGTCGGCGAATTTATTTTGTGTTCTCTAATGATTTCAATGAACCATAAGAATAAAACATTTATTTCGATCTGACGTCGAAAAGTTATATGTGAGTTTTGACCTTTCTCCCATTTTCCGAAAATACCCTCTCCTGCTCTGATCTCGTCGCGCCGCCCCAGTCATCATCGGTATGGATTTTGTAACCAATGGTACAGAACTGCTTATTTTTCGTTTACTTCTCCTAAGTCAACTGTATCTCGACTAATAAGAAACATTAAAATTGTCATTGAAGGGCATGGCTCAATCAGGCTTTTTTGCCGATATTATTTATTTCTCTTTGTGGTACTGTAAAAGAGAGCAAATCATAAAAATCACTATCTTATTCCGAGCTGCCATTGCTTCCGACGCTTTAAGTGGTGTTCTGATACGTAGTCGTAGACCTTATAAGAGATATCTCTATTTTAAGTCTTTTTCTTGTGCAAGCCATATTTCATATATAATCTCTTATAAATCAATGTTGTATCTCATCGATCATGAGAATGATTTGAGGAACTGGTATCAACGTGACGCGACAATCCATTGAATTTATTATACAATATTGACATAAACTTTGGCTACTATTTAAGCGGTCAGTAAAATAAATTAAATGATCAGTAAAATAGATGAAATGGTCAGTAAAATAGATGAAATGGTCAGTAAAATAGATGAAATGGTCAGTAAAATAAATGGTCAGTAAAAAGTGTATAAATGATCAGTAAAAAGATTAAATGGTCAGTACTTAGATTATCACTCATATAAAAAAAAGATTGGAAAAATCTGATTTTAATCGATTTTTTAAATCAAACCAGTGATTAAAATAAATTAAATTTATAAATATTAATTTTAATGGCGGCGACGGTAAAATGCGTTTTCTCAAACTTTATGTTGAAAACTCAGATGTTCGATCGCTTTTTCGGACTCCTTGCCTCGGAAAATTAGTAGATATGATGCTAGATCGACCTTTGACATAAATTCCATGCTTCACGACTCGATATCAATTGGTACTTATTGATTTAAAAAGAAAAACTATTAGAATTGATTAAAATCGATTTAAAAAT